TTCGATATATTTGCTTGTATTTATGCATTTGTGGCTTTATAAATTCTCGGAAGCATTCTAGATGAAATGATTTGATTAAAATACGCTTAACGTGCAATTAACATTTGTCTTTTCTTACGTCAAGCATCTGGGTGTGAGAGAAACACCGGGACACACTGATGGGTGTATAACCCTGGTGTTGTGTGATAAAAGCATGGCGTTCACCGGGGACGCTCTGCTCATCAGAGGCTGCGGCAGAACCGACTTCCAGCAAGGTACACACGTTTTTATTTATCTTTGTGTAGATTTCTTTAGAAAATAACTTAGACCTGTAGATGCATTAGGTGRACACCAGGGGGCAGCATTGAGCTGTTTTTCTAACAACTTTAGACCTACCCTTGCACTGCTGCACACTACAACTTCTTTTATTTCTGAACTGATTTTAATACACAAAATAAAGTTTTATACACATATTATGACTTAATGAACAGTTTTTTATATATATATTACATAAGTTGCAATTTATTCTTTGTCTATTTTAGGTTCTTCTTCAAAGCTCTACCAGTCAGTCCATGAGAAGATCCTATCACTGCCTGAGGATTGTCTCCTCTATCCAGCACATGACTACTTAGGTTGGTTAAACTATTTCAAGTTTTTCTTTCACTCTCAAAGAGGTCAGCACAAATAGATAAAGTGTTATTGTCAAAGGGCTGTACAAACTTATTCAAGTATCAATAAAGCACATGATGTCATACTAAGCTGTTTGTTTTTGTGTGTGCATCAGGTCAGACGGTCTCTACAGTTGGTGAGGAACTCAAGTTTAACCCCCGCTTGACCAAGCCCTTGGAGGAGTTTGTGAAGATCATGGATAATCTGAACCTCGCCAAGCCAAAGAAAATTGGTAATGAAACAGTTTAACAATCCACCACTGCTGTTCTCTAGTCTACTTACTTAGTTTGAAACCATTTAAAATTACTCTGTTAGAAAGTTGGTCATAATGATCTGGCTGATTTCTATAACTTGTCTAGGCAAAATAATAATAATAAAAATTCTGAAATCCTTTTTTTCCCTGCTTTACAGATGTAGCATTACCAGCTAATATAGTCTGTGGACTACACGACGTCTGAGAGCCCTGCAGAGCAGAACAACAACATATAAACAGTGACGTATCAAATGATTAACAGGATTTGACAAAAAGGCTTTTTTTTAAATGGTTGTATTGGTTTTTCATAAAAGAAATAAGTTTGAATCACTGTCATTTGGAATGCAGCTCTTTAGGTTTTTGTCTTTGTTCTTAAAATAAAAATTGCTTTATTGACTATTGTAAATGTAAAGAGATAATGTTGTAATATATGTGAAGAAAAACACTATTTGTTTGTATTATGCTTAAGTTAAATGAGGAATACTTTTTTCTCTGGTTAGTTGTTATAAACTGTAGAGTTGATAAGAAAGTTGTTAAGATCAGAAACAAAACTATAAAAAGGCCAAATTAGATTTGATTTGGTATTTATGAATTTATTACTGATGCAATCAACTTCTTCTCTCTCTCTCTCTCTCTCTCTCTCTCTCTCTCTCTCTCTCTCTCTCTCTCTCTCTCTCTCTCT